GCTTTAGCTTTTGTTCATTTAATAAATGTTTTGAACTTTCCTACTGACCGTCTCTCCTTGAATACTGGGTCCATCTGTCTGCAAATATGTGCCAGATTATATAAAACAGACGTTTCCTCATCCTTCCTGAATTAAAATAAATTACATTTCCAGATTAAAGTCCCTGAAGGGGCTCCTGTGTCCCTTTGACCCCGACACCCACCAGCATGCCTTTGACCACGGGGATGCAATCTGGGAACAAAGAGCTTCTCTGAAGCAGCAAATAGAGACATTGATAGAAGGGGAAGTCTTTGAGAATAAAGACCAAAGGTCAGACCTTCTCCTGAACCCGACCCAGATTCACTGCGGGGGTTAATACATCTGAACTGGACCTTTTTATTTCTGCGTCCTGCAACACCACAACCAGAGAGCAGCAACAAACAGGGACATGGATACGGCTTCATCTCACTATGAAGGCAACCAGGAAGCAAACGAGTGTCAATAATTCAGAGCTGGAGGAGGAGGTGGAGAGTTTAGCTGTCTGACGTCACGGATGGGAGCCTACGGGAGGAAAAAAACGCCAGAGGCGACCGTAGGGAGGGTGGGAGGGGACGTTTGTTGGCACAACGGAGGGCAGCGAGCATGAAAACATGCATTAAAAACGTCACAACAGACGCTGGTTAGTGCTCTACACACACCAGCCTGAGCCAGTCTGATGGAAGGAGAACCGACCTCCGAGGAAGAGATGTGGATGAATGGCGACGTGAAAGAACTCACGTTGGTTTGGCTTCTGAGTCTGAAGCCAATCTGAGCGACGGTTCATCAGGAAAGCAGCCGCCTGAGAGGATGATGCATAAGATGACCCAAATACTTTCACAGGAAGTTCAGTCTGCAAAGTGCTGCATTCTCATCCACAAGATGCTTGATTTAGGGCAGGAATGACGGATTTATTTGGGGTCCAAATATCTCTGAAGTTTGAATTCCTTTCATTCCTCCACAGCAGATAGGCTCAAATATTTACATCCAGTCATTCATGGTTATATCTGTTGAACCAGTTCACCAGACCTAAGAAGGCCTCTGGCTTCCCTCAGGATAGCTGACCGTTCCTCTGGCCATTCCAGAACCTTACATTCTGCTTTATCCTGTTCAGAACCAGTTTTTAGAGTGTTTGGAATCATTCTATTGTTTAAGGCTCCAGTTTTGTCCCGGTTACGATAACATAACAGCTTATTTAGGTTGAGGACTAATAAAAAGGTCCATCCAGCTACAGGAGAGAAACCCAGACTCCTGCCATATGTGGTTCTGAATCTGTTACAGAGAAAGGAATGTGTTTGTTTCACCAAAGCAGTAGAAACCAGAGCAAAGCTCCAGCTAGTCGAACATTTAACACATAAAAATTAACCAGAAATAAAGCAGCGTCACCGCAGCAGCACCTAGAGCCAAAATATGACATATGCATTTTTTTCAACTGGCAAATGGCTGTTTCCAACTAGTATATTCCTTTGTTCAACTAGCTTAGGCTGTTTTTGAACTGGCATATCCCATTTTCAAAACTGGCAAATGGCTGTTTCCAACTAGTATATTCTTTTGTTCA